CTGTCAGCAAATTTGTTTTACTGAATTATTCCTTACTTTTATTCGATATTTGCAATACTGGTTTCTCCAAACCAATATTGCCCTTTCAAAGTAATTTCTCGTAAAAAACTTTTCAAAGCAAAAAACTTGAAGATGTGAGAGTTATTTACGAAGTTTGTTAAATTAAAATTAGAAAAGAGATACTTCATTCAAAAGTTTTGGATTCAAACATGCTATACCTAAATACTGACAATACTAGTTTGATTATGACATTGCGCAAAACGAGGCGGTGTAAATCTGAATAGAGAAAAACTATGTCACAAACAATTAACTTCAGACAGAATATTGTCTACCTTTATAGTAAGTACAAGTAAATTGTGGATACTGTTATATTGATATTCAACACATGTAGTGGATTATATTTTCTCCTTTTCATACAAAGTTTTTTAGTCGAAGATATTCCATTTCCAGCAGCAAATGCCTGTAACATTTTGGCTGGATGATTTTCAGGCCATTTGTTTTTTGCACCAGATTACAATCTTGCCATTTCGCGGATTTCTGCATATACAGGGTGTTTATTGAATACTTGTACAAACTTTAAAGGGCGAATCTTTGACTAATTTTAAGATAAAATGTTCATATGAATATGACTCCGCAATGGCTTGGTTCTTGAGGTATAGAGCGTCCAAAAAAAATTTTTGTTTGATATTTTATTTCTTGTGAATTTTCATTTTTTTCTAATTTTTACTAATTTAGTGATAGTTATTTGTAGAGTGATAATGTAACGTAGCACATGACTCTTTTTCACCTATTTTTCAAAAACTCAACTTCAAATGAATCAACTTACAAATCTCGTATTGCTGAATTTTTGGATGCGGAAGGTCAGGTTAAAGCACATCTCGATTTTTCTAAAGCATTCGAAATTGGAATCATACGGTAGTTCCCCTGCTATGCTATCTCTGTATAAATCTTTTTTAGTAATAGATGCCAGTTTGTACAGTATCGTGATTTTCAATCATGTAAATTCCATCAATTTACAGGTGTTCCACAAGGGTCAATCCTGGGACCACTGCTGTTTGTTATCTCTGAATGTAAGCAAATATAAAATTATGTTCTACAGTCATTGCAAAACTATTCTAGACTTCAGTTATAATATTGGCGAATCTTTTCTAAATAGAGTTACGCAATTTGCTGACCCTAGTGTTATATTCGATACTAGATTATAGTTTGAGGAACATATTAGTTTAGTAACCAAGTACACAAAGACAATCTTTTTACTATTGCTAAATGCGGACATGAAATTTGTTTAGTCGTGAGAATAAAAGCCATAGGCCATAGGCTTGATAGTAACATTTTCTCAAGAAGTCCCTTCGAGAAATGTGTACAATAATTACAAAGTTTATAACACAATATGGTTAAAGATACAAGACCCACGTTTTCAACACTAAATGCTTAATGAACCATAATATTAATTCAGGGGTGGCTTTTGTTGTGCTGCCTATGTATAAGTAAATTTTCTGATTAAATCTAAGTACTTCGGAGAGAATTTGTAGCTATAGAAAGAGGTTATAACAGAGTTCTGTTCTATCCTTTGGATAATATAGAAATATATTAAAACATTGCAATGGGATCAGATATCTTTTACATACCTAGATTTTTGGTATCGATGAACATTGTTTGACTTCATTTTATAAGAACAACATGATAATAATAATTATTATTAGGTTAATACCTTTACAATGAAGTAAAAATTTGTAGTATATCTTTTCTTCGGCATCAAGGTAATTTCTAGAAAATTTATAAACCTTTGCAATAATATTTGGAAAAAAGTAACTGTAAATGAGTAACAGCTCGTATATAGAAATTTTTGTACATTATCTAGAAAATTTTGAGATTTTATTTATATTTATTTAACACAATTATGTGTGTCCCATATCAAAACAGAAGTGAACATATTTAACAAAATTTTAAATATAATTTTGGTAAATGCGTTACCAATCGTTGTTAATCTTATTATCTACATAAATTATGGTCAACAGTGCTACAACTATGTAAATTTAAAAATATTTTTTCCATGTAGGCAACAATTTAATTTAATGTATTGGGAACGTGTTAATATGGGAAAGGTTTTTAATTTAGGAACAGTATTCCATGGGAAATTGAAAATAAACTTCTGACACGAGAGTGTAATTTACGATATGAATTTATAATTAAAATTTCGGTTGGATTACGAAAAATCTTGTACCGATTACTCACAAATTTAAATTAAAATTCTGAACCATATTATTTCTAAGTGTTTCCACTGATTTACACATATTACTTCGCAGATCTAAAAGCCTTTAGATATCGACTAACCATAGCTTGATTAATATAACGTAGAAGGTTAATGGGGTTAAATACTATAAATAAAAATATACAAATATACAAATGAGGTAAATGTTTACCCATAACACAACAAAATTTTAAACAAATTGATTTCTCCTTTTATTTAGTAAAAAATAAAAGTATAGTTTAGTATAAAAACTAAAAGGAGTTACATGGGAGTTTCTTAAATAAGAAGTTTTCGGTAATATGATCCACAATAGTCTATTAGGTACCTACGTCACAAGTTTAATGACAATGGCGCCCAAATCGAATAATAATGAAATAAAAATTTGTGTAAAGTTATTTGCAAAATTGCTAGTACAATCACAGTAAATTTCATCGTAGAATAGTATTCTACGATGAAAGGACCCCGCACAAATCTTATGGAAATTGGGTCGCGGTCAAATTCGCTGAATTTTTGATATGTGATAGAGTTCATCATACTGGTCAATTGTCTCAATGGCCACAAAGTTCAAAAATGGATAGTTTGGCCGGTACAGAGCTTTAAAGCTCCGAATATCCTCCACGGATTTATGTATATGCGCAGTGTGTATAGACTTTTGAAATAGCCTATTTAATTTTTTTTATTATCTAGGTTTATATTTTTGAGGTTGCTGAATTCAGATCTGTTGTTAGATTTTCAAAATTGACAGTTGGCAGCTGTCAACTAGCTGTCAATTTGCTATAATAAAGCCAGAAACTTGTTTTTTTATGATTTATTTTTTTTTTTTTTTAGTTCGATAAGTTCAAAGACGATATCAAATCAATAACAATGACTATCGGCAGCTGTCATTTAGCTGTCAACAATTCTTCAAAGTCCGGTAATAAAGTCAAAAAATTATTTTTTGTTTATAACTTCAAGTTTTTTAGATAAGTGAATATAAATATGATATAAAATTATGTAGTCATCAGCTTACAGCTGTCAACAAGCTGTCAACTAACTGTCAAAATGCAATAATAGAGCAAGTAACTTATTTTTTGTGCTTAACTTTGTGGATAAGAAATCAAACATGATATAAGTTTATGACATCACTTTTGAACTCAGTGATCTAAGCAACTTAAAGCTTTTTAAAAAAAGTAACTTTTTGACTTTATTATTGCATTTTGACAGTTAGTTGACAGCTTGTTGACAGCTGTAAGCTGATGACTACATAATTTTATATCATATTTATATTCACTTATCTAAAAAACTTGAAGTTATAAACAAAAAATAATTTTTTGACTTTATTACCGGACTTTGAAGAATTGTTGACAGCTAAATGACAGCTGCCGATAGTCATTGTTATTGATTTGATATCGTCTTTGAACTTATCGAACTAAAAAAAAAGAAAGATAAAACATAAAAAAACAAGTTTTTGGCTTTATTATAGCACATTGACAGCTATTTGACAGCTGCCAACTGTCAATTTTGAAAATCTAACAACAAATTTGAATTCAGCAACCTCAAAAATAAAAACCTAGATAATAAAAAAAATTAAATAGGCTATTTCATCATATACATAAATCCGTGGGGGATATTCGGAGCTTTAAAGCTCTGTACCGGCCAAACTATCCATTTTTGAGCTTTGTGGCCATTGAGACAATTGGCCAGTATGATGAACTCTATCACATATCAAAAATTCAGCGAATTTGACCGGGACCCAATTTCCATAAGATTTGTGCGGGGTCCTTTACTGCGAATTGTACAAGCAATTTTGCAGTATTAATTGTCTCTGTAGTATGATGATACCCTCTAGCCACGACGACCTTATGGTCCCCTAAAACTGTGGTCATTGTCGAGTGTTGGGATGGACCTTCTTGTCCAATATATCTAATGCTAGTAAATTGAAAAGTGATGGAAAATATGAAAAATGTGCCTGTGGACATTTGTCCTCAAATATTTCGTTTGCGAGGCTGTAAGCAAAAGGTACAACTGGATACAACATTTTACGAGTAAATTTGGATAGCTTGATTTAATTCGGTTAAAATTAAAAACAATAAAAACAGATAATAGGATATAAGTAGGATAAAGGAATAAATAAAAAATATTTAATTTTATACAAAGATAACATCTTTTTCTAAAGAATAAATTCATAACAAATGAGAAAGCTCTTCAAGTGTTTAAAGGTAAGGCCAACTGCTTATTGTCAAATAACTTCATTAATTTATTCACGAAGTTCTTCACAAATTAAAACATGTTTTAATTTACGTGAATTTTTTCATAAAGTTGAGAAGTACCAACAAAAATATTGAGGTTAAGTTATTTGTTTACATATTTATTTTAGCACGTTTTTATGAAGAGTGATATGTGAACTGTAAATTACAATTAAGCACAATTATCTATGTTATCTAATTAAAAAAATTATTAATCTCGACTTATTTCGGAAATTGTATTCATTTTCAGTTTGTCTTTATTTACTATGACTTGAAAAGCTGTTGTTGTTTCAAAGAAATTCACGAAGATCAAAACAAATGCAAAGCCAAATCCTTTATGAATAAATTGATGAACTAATTCATGAAAAACTTCGTGAATTTGTTTATGAATTAGTATTAATGATATTAAAGTAAGCAGTATTATTGATATTTTTAATATGTCATAAAGTATACGTAAGATCAACACAATGCGTGAATAAAAGTAAGACACAGCTAACTAAGTCACAGCTAACTAAGTCACTTACCCTCCGTTTACTCTTGATGTTTTCCATTTGCCGTTGAGTGCATTCCCCAATGCTCTGCGAACCCCACAGCTCTATTCCTATCCTAGCGTACGTGTACATCATCGACAATATTGGCACCAAGTACGTTATTACCAAGAACGCCACGTTGAAGCTGGAATTATATCAAATTAGTTTGGACAGGAAACCTATCTTCAGCTGTCAATACAAGTTTGTTTTCAGACAGAATCCTGTCTTGTTATAAGTGCACGAGTTAATAAAATGACAGAATTATTAATTGCTTCAGAATAAAGTACTTTGATGGTAAAAAAGATTTTGCGAATATGTATTAGGAATGCTCAATGGAAAAAGTACGAGACTTTTATACAATTTATAACAATTAGGAATTAATTCTACCTCCTAAATTATGCATTTCACACGTGAAATAGACACAGTTTTGCGGAAAATAATATACAAAAAATTGATAACTTTACGTACAATTATTTAACTTTTTTGATCCAATTGAAAATAAATCATATTTTTTTCACTAATCTTAGCATCCTAACCTATTTCGAAAACATGTCAGCATATATAATATTTTCTGCCATTAAAATATGACTAATTATTTCATTTGCATCTTGTATAGCTAAATCTAAATTAATTTTTTTTTAATTCGCCAGGTTACTAGGAAAATTAAAACTTATTAAAAAAGTTTAGGTGCATTTATTTAAATCGATTTAAGTAATAAATTATATTCACGTAAAAATTTTTAAGGATTCGTGTTTTGCATTTGAATACGTATTCTCCCCGTTTAGCCCAGTTTTTACCCTAATTCTTTTCGTAATGAATACTTCCGGTTCCGGTTCTTTCAGATTTGTTTAGTAGTTAGTAAAAAGCAAAATCAGCGTGGGATGTTTTGTGTTTGGGCAACGTAACGCATAAATCTTAGGTGCACGTAAAGGATTTCTTTCACCTTTTAATGCAATCAATTCGGCCCTAGAAAAATTTCTTTTTAGTAATGCGAAAAAAGTAAAATGGAAATAAATGCACATTTGATGACATTTTTAATGAAATATTTTTGAGAATAGAAGACAACCTCAAATGAAATCGAAATTGTAACCTCTACAATGGCTATATCGATGGAAAGAGAATTTGTTTTTCTATAATATGGTGCAAAGAAATAGAGGGTGTTTCATTCGAATTTAGTTTTATCGGTTTCAAGTTACAAAATGTAACGTAAAAAATGGGATACTTAGCATAATTTTTTTCAAGTAATTTTGATAATGGATCTTATGTTCTTTGTGTGTTTCGAAAAGCGAGTGAAAGCTTCCTGAACGATGGAAGAATTTTCGAAACGCTTGCATCTGTCAAAATTTTTATAAAATGTCGATTTAGGTATAAGGAAGCTCCAACATTTTTGACTTATTTTTAATTTATCTTGTCGATAATGCAATAATATTTAAAATAACCAAGTTGATAGCTATTTCTAGTTTAACCGGAAGTGTTACGTTGAAGACATTATTTTCATTGAAGAGGGCATATCTGATAACCCCCGTATACAAAATTTCTGAGTCATATTATCTTTGGTTTCTCTGAAAAGTTTAATAGGCCACTTTCGTGAGGAATCCTGTATATTATCACATTTTTTGCTTTTTAAATATTTTTAACTATATTTACATGTACGTTGATATTAAGGTAATTATATGTAAGTTTAATTTAATTTAATGTTTTGATTTAAAAAATACACTTTTATTTTCGTCTCACGCTTAAGAGAGAAAAATTGACACTCAACTGTGCTATGAGATCATTTCACTTTCGCAAAGACAAGTAAAATGATACAGGGTGATTCAGAACTTCTGGATGTACAGGGGACCGGGACCCTTACAAATACAATTTTATAAAGAAAAAATTAAAAAGGCAGTTCACAAACGATTTAAAAATACACTTCTGTACGGCACTGGAAACTGGTCCACTGTAAAACCTGACCTCGCGACAATGCGACGGGCATGGCGGTGTGATAAAAACCGACAAAAACGTTGGCAAGAAAAGAAATAAATAGAATTTTATAGCACCTATTTTATATCGGCAAATTCAACTGCTTTTGTCTTTATTAATTAATAAAATTAATTGTGTTTTTAAATAATAAAATCATTTGACATACCCGATGTTACAACAACAATTGTTCAAAATTGTATCCACCAACGTGTAAACACATTTGGGCCCGTCTTAATCAGTTTCTACGAACTGACACAAACGTAGCCTTGCTTCACCATAACACAAATGCTTCACGATAATACAAATGTTGTCTTGCTTCACCATAAATTAAAACGATATCCATTAACTCCGAGTTGCTTTACACATAAACCATATTTTAAACTAACTACTAAAAAACTATTGTAAACACTACAGATAACAGGTAAACACTATCGCAACGACGTCCACGTGGCTCTCTACGCGTATTGCGAATGACGTTAGAGACTATACAGTTGTCAAGCTTTGTGGTGGTTGAATGTGCTATAACTTCAATAATTTTTTTCTCGGAAACTATAAGGATTTTACAAAAATTTTTTTTACGATATATTGACTCGATTCCTCATGCTGTATCTATTCCCAAATTTTTTTGGATAAGTTGTGAATCACCCTGTATATCACCGTACATAATATTTAACTACTCATTAATCGGAAGCAATATTTATATGTTACACCTGGTTATTCGTGATGGAATCTGATATGCTATTTATTAAAAGCTTATAATGACAAGACTAATTCATCAAACTGTAACAGCGAAAGTTTCATGTATAGTAATAAAGGGTGACGAATTATGTCCAAGTTTTCAGTGCCAAGGTATTAAGGATGTAACAGGAATTATCCGGTGAAATATTGTGTATGGTAACAAATTTTCCAGTTATGTTAACTTTTATAATATATCTCGAGCTGGCATTCCATCTAATATTTAACTCCGAGGAAGGAGGGTGAGAAATAGAGTACATATTACCTCATTTCTTGGGACACGAAAAGGTCGTCAAGACTATATTTTGATTACTCTCGAGCTAAAATTGGATGTCCTTCTATGTGTCTCCGGAACTTATTTGTTAATTGAAGTCTTTTAGAGCCGAAAATGCTTAATTTCTTCTTTATATTTTAAAATTTATTCAGCACATGTCAATGTCATTCCCATAATAATTAGAATTTACTGAGCTAAAAACCTTGATGTTTTTAAAAACTAGTTGATTCGACTTGACTCTGTGCTACTAATTTCAAGCGGTTTGAAAAAGGCCAAACTTTGGAAAAGTTTTAAACGAAACAGTGATTATACAATTTTAATCTTGTAATAATAATTTTTTAACCATCTTCAACTCGAGTAGTTTTGAATTAGCAGTAACGAATTAGAGGAAATAAAATTGTTGTCGCATGTTTATTATCCATAATCGTGGTGCCATAATCCATATTGTGGTGCCTTCAACGTTTAATGTCCTACTAGTTGTTCGTCTGTTATTTAATGAAAACATTTTGTTACATATAGGTAACAAACTTAGCGCTCTGCTGAAAATGAATCCTGTTCGGGATTAATATACAGGGTATACCNAGTGTTCGTTGGAGAGTAGTTGGAGAGTGTCTTGTGGTTGAAGTCGGTCGCATATCGGGTACGCGTCTGGTGGCCGGCATCAGCAGCCCTTCTTGGAACGCTGGTTCGTCCGGCGGCGTCCTGCGGCGCTCTTGACGTTGTGCTTTCTAATATGGGTCACTTGCAAACATGTGTACCCACAGTTTTTTTAACTGCACTTTAATTCTAGTGTACGCCGCCACTGAGCGCCGTCATTTTAAAGTAATCATTTTTTTTTTTGAAATCACTGTGGTTGAAGCGCCGAACATTCTATCTTTTCTAAAATAAATAATAAAATTTTTTTACAAAACAGATTGCTTTAGTATAACTACGACGTGTTATTTTAAAGTTACCATATTTTTTTATGTTAATATGGACGAAGAGCCGAGTAAAAAAATTGTTTCTAAAAAATTAAAAATTTTTACATAGTTTACTAACTACTAACCAACATTGGTAAGTGACACTACTAATTTTTTAATAAAACTAATGTTGTAAAATAATTATTTTTGCTGTTTTAAAAAACAAACAAAAAATTAATAAAAATACTAATCTGATTGATACGAAAAATATTCTTTTAAAATCGTTTCAAGTTTTTACAAACAATTATGTGTTACTATTTTTTTAAGTCGTTCATATACTCAATTTGTAAATCTCAGTATCAATGACCTCTGACACTCTGACATCATGTTCCGAACGCTTCCGAGGTATAATCTTATAGTTATTTATTTCAGTGTTTAGTGACGGTACAATGTAATTTTGTATTTTATATTTAAGTTGAAAATGAAGCAATGAAAAAGCATGTATACGAATCAAGAAAGAGTTTATATGGTTAGAGCTTACTTTTGTCAGGAGCAAAGGATACGATACCAGGTAGATTACGTCGACTTACACGGTAAGTACCAAATTAGCAAATGTTTGTGAGATTGGTTCAACGTTATGGAAGCTTTGTACGCCAATATGCTAATGTTCGACGCGAACAAATTCAGAGACTGAGAAATTAGGAAAAAACGCCGTGGAAGAGGATCCTGGTAAGTACTCGAAGATTAGCCACAAAATTTCAAGTACACAGATTATTTATTTATTTTTGTGTATTTAATTTATCATTATTGATTAATGTTTTCTGCTAGGTTACTTGTTAAGTAATGTTCTATAGTTTATCTTATTTAGTGGAACAGAATTTTAATTTTTGTGCGAAATGATACGGCTCGTGGCGAACACCTACTTAACAAACGTAATGTGCCACGGAATGTGCCAAAGAGTAATACCTCACAGCGAGTAATGTAGAAATGTGTTTTTTAACAACTTTTCCTTAAATATTAGATTTGACAACAATGCATAGCCCAGTTCCCAAATGTGCACGCGCTGCGCCTAATGCGTGCCGTTGTTTGAGGTTAAACTAGCTCATCTAGCGGCGGGGTATGAAAATTACTAAAAAAAAATATAAGAAATATTTTTCTCGACGAAATTTAAAAAAAAATAAACTATTGATACGTATTTCTAAAGGCCAAAGGTAGCCTCTGCATAAATACTCGTATCACCCCTACTCAAACTTACACTCTGTAAAATATACTATTACACTTTTCTAATATTAGAATTAAAATTCAGGACTTAGTTTGCAGTAAGTACAAATCTTTTTTACAAGTCTGACTACTATTTATAAATATTAATGAAATAATCTTGAAGAATTACTTAATTTTCAATTACTTGAATTGTAACTAATTGATGTGACTTGTCATTCGATCAGTATTACTTGGTTTGAACTTGATCTTGATGATTTCAAGTAGCTTGAAAATCGAGTCAAGCTGTCAATTTCTAATAAGGTTTCTTTAAATTTTTCATGAGTTCTATTCACCCTCGAAGTTTCTTGGTCTGATTTTGGTACAAAAATTTGTAAAATGTTTACAAAAATTAAGGAATAAGAGGACATGTAGAAACAAAAAATATGCAATATGGTGAAAATAACTGGCTAACTTTTTCATTAGGTTCAGCTCAACTTTTATTCAACAATAAATTAATTCAGCGTCATTATATCGCACTTAATAATACATGAATTTAAATTAACTCGCTATTAATTTCTTTTTATAACGTTTTAGTTCCTGCTACAGAGACCAATCAAATAAAAAATGCGGTTTTGTCAATTTTGCTATTTCTAGAAAATATTTAAAATTCTATTAATCAAATGTCTTTGGACCAGTTCTATTGTTTTACAGTTACACGAAGCTCTTAAGGATTATAAAACATTATTAAGTTAAAAATAATTTAAAAACAAGTAAGGTTTGATTTTATTGATGTTCAAAAAATATGTATAGGTATAGTGCACTACAATTGTCACTATCTATTTATAATTAATGACTACTATTATTAACTAATAACTTACATGTATTCCTGCATGGATTCGTTGATTTTACCAGTTTCTACGTCTGGCCATTTCATATAACATATAATCCTCTCGCCTCCATCGGTCTCCGTTCGGAAGAAAATTAGTGATGGAATTCCTATTAATATACCTAAAATCCAAGTTAGTAACGCTAGCAGTAGCGTGAGCGTTTTACCCATACGCGGCTTTAAAGGAGTCATTATCGCCATGTACCTGAAAGCAGTGATCGAAATTATAAATAAGTTGAAATATGTTTTCAATTTTACTAAGTCGAATTTTTTTATATTCGGGTTGACCTCTGAGGAAGCGCAAAAAATTTCAGAGAAAACTACTTGGAGAAATATGGGCCATTTTGAATCAAAATAACTTTATTTTCAAAAATAACTCATGCAGAATGTATTTAAATAAAGCATAAGTGTAGATAATTGAGGCATATGTATATACTTTAATCTATAGTTGCCTCATTTGCCAGTTATAGGGTGTTTTTGAAAAAGATCACAAATACACACCTATTATGAAAGTAGTATTATATAATGATTATGAAACAATATGGTAACCAAGTTGCTACTAGTTGTCATTTATGCGTTTGGGTATTATCCAAAAATTTTACGAAAATAGACGTTCTTTTGTGAACACTTATCGCGCACTTCGCGAAAACTTTGATCCAAATAATCGCCCTTCTTTGCTTGCCATTCGTCTTATCGTTGAGAAATTTGAAAATAATTTTACTCTTAACGATGTAAAAACACCAGTAAGACGTCGAAATGCCAGAACTGTTGAGAATATTGCTGCTGTAAGAGCAAAGGATCCAAATTTATCAATTCATCGTCGTGCTCAACAGTTAACCCAAGAACTTAAGCCACTGGACCATCGTCGGCGCCGAGAATTTTCTGCTTGGAGTTTAGAACAACTTGAAAGGGATCTTAATTTTGCGAAAAAAATTATCTTTTCAGATGAAGCTCATTTTTGGGTAAGTGGATATGTTAACAAGCAAAATTGTCTTTTTTTGGTGTGAAAACAATCCGCAAGAGATTCACGAGAAGCTTTTGTATCCGCTAAGGTATCTGTATGGTGTAGTTTATGGCATATTTGCATTATCGGACCATTTTTTTCCAAAATGAGGTAGATGTTAAGAAATCTTTATGGCCAAATTTAGGTGCACTTGATTTGGAGGATATGTGGTTCCAGTAAGACGGTGCCACATGTCACACTGCTCATGAAAATTTGCAAGAAAATTTTGACGAAAGGGTAATTTCAAGGAATGCAACTGTTCACTGGCCTCCAAGAAGTTGTGTTTAACTCCATTACATTACTTCTTTTGGGGCTATTTGAATTCTAAGGTCTATGCAATTAGACCTCAAACACTTGGTGCAGTAATATTGAACACTAAAACCTGCATTCGTCAGATCACGCCCGATTTATTGCACAAAGTTATTGAAAATTGGGTTCGTCGAATTCGCTCGTGTAGACGAAGTTGAGGTGGACATATAAACGATGTGTTATTCAAAACATAAATTTTTTGACTGTACTTTAAGATAATATAAAAAGTTTGGTCGTATCTGATGTAATTTTAATTTTATTTCATTTCAAAATTATATCGAAAAATCCTTTATTAACCAGTGGTGGAGGTACTGGGAGATGTTTCCACTAAGAAGCGCAGAATTTCGAGGCTACTGAGATGTAGTTTTACAAATATGGTATTTTTAGTAATTAGTCATCGCGATTGACTTTTACAATAAAGTTTGGTTTAATAGTTTACATTCTCAGTAAAAAGAAAATTTAATTTGAAGAAAAAAATAGAATAAAAAAATTCCACTCTGTTTTGAGGATTTTTCGATGAAAAAAACTCGCCACCCTTTTTCACAAAACACTTGGGTTAAAAATTAAAAACAACTCAAAAAACTAAAAATGTATTATTTTTTTATATAAAACTATATCCCAAAACGAACAAAATGAAAAAAGTTTATGATGTCTTTAGTTTTTTCCAAGTTAAAAGTATTTGAAAATTTTTTACCCAAAATATTCATTTGCTCATAACTTCTTGAGGGACTGAAATAAACAATTTTTAAAAATCATGAAAGATACGAAATAATAGATACCAGGAAAAACACAGGAAAATTGTAGGGTCACGATGTCAGTAATTTGGCATGGAATGCCCCAAAGAAAAACACACTACAAATTTTGGAAAATCAATTTACTCCGAGGCAGGGTTAGTTCAGATATTAGAATGTCCTTAATACTAAATCATGTTGTGTAATCGACCAAACAAATAAAAATCACTGAATCGCTTACAAATCAACAGGATTTGTTGCTAATGTTTTCTGTTTACGTTTTATTTATTTATTTAATATACAACCACCCACCAGGGACCAATTACGGGGATGGCAAAATACAATAGGTACTTTCAAAAGTTTCTAGATGTACCTAGGAAACACCTTGTATTATAATAATAATACCGCACGTAAATAATCTATATATAATTTTTTGTTATTCAGTGTTCAAGTGTTCAAATAGTTCTTGTGATATAATAATGAATACGTTAATTGAAAGTTACTCTAAACAATGGAAGAATAAACATTTTAAAAAATTTTTCGAATGTAATTAATGATGTAAATTCACAACAAAACATGCGGGATAGCCGTTCTTTCTTTATCAACATCATGTTTCTGTGAAAGAAGTTTTGAGATTACAGCAGGGGTCTCAAGATGTTCTCTAGGCAGTCACAATTAATCAAGATTTCAACAAGCGTAGAAAGAAGATGAATATAAAGTGGCTTTAAGAAATAAAGACATTTATGGATTAAAGTTAAAGTTAAGTGCAGCAGAGAGGATCATAAAAGAGAAATGAACGCACAATTTTAATAAGGAAAACTGTTATAACTCTCCCCTGTAGACAACAAAGGTATTCGCTTAATGTAGTATAATACAATAGAAATGCGTTACAAAAAGTCACCTTGTAGACCATCTAAGGAGTTTTTTTTCTCTTTTGACAATTTATTGTATCATTCGTAAAAAATTAATCTTCGCCGGCGTAAATTTCGCAGCCAATTATCCTGAGATTTAATCTCATTCCTGAAATTATTTACGGGAAAGAATAGGAATACTAATCTGATTATATTATAATTTTTCAGGGATGTTGAGCATCCAAATCCAAATTACCATAAAAAATTTATGTTATATAAACTGGCATTGGATGAATCTTTGGTTGTACATACTATAACGGCAATTTATGGACTAGACAATTGATCAGCTGACACGTGAATAATTATGCAAACTCTTTGATGGTTTTCAGAACTTAAAATTCCATTAAGAATTTGCAGAACTTTTCTTTAAAATAATTAATTGAAGGAATTAGCAGAGAATTAAGGTGAACTTCTATACAATATGAGTTTGCCATACCGCTTACAGCAATTTGTAATAAAACTTGCTGGTAAAAGTTTTCTAGCCCACAAATCTAAACTTTTCAGTATACTGAAGTTCCCGATTCGAATTTTTAACTACCTATTTATGTAGTTTTATATTCTACAATTAATTGGAAGAGTGTTTATAAATCATTGGATTAAATGAATGTATACACTGTCATATTACACCGTTAGCGAATATATATTGAATTAATTAATATTGATACTTATTTCTTAAATTGCAGAATCTTTCTATCGGTTTAAATTTAGTAATAATTGATATGATGGCATACTTTATATATATACTGAATTATATTATTTGTTTTATTTAGAATACATGTGTATATACNAAGTTAAAGTTAAGTGCAGCAGAGAGGATCATAAAAGAGAAATGAACGCACAATTTTAATAAGGAAAACTGTTATAACTCTCCCCTGTAGACAACAAAGGTATTCGCTTAATGTAGTATAATACAATAGAAATGCGTTACAAAAAGTCACCTTGTAGACCATCTAAGGAGTTTTTTTTCTCTTTTGACAATTTATTGTATCATTCGTAAAAAATTAATCTTCGCCGGCGTAAATTTCGCAGCCAATTATCCTGAGATTTAATCTCATTCCTGAAATTATTTACGGGAAAGAATAGGAATACTAATCTGATTATATTATAATTTTTCAGGGATGTTGAGCATCCAAATCCAAATTACCATAAAAAATTTATGTTATATAAACTGGCATTGGATGAATCTTTGGTTGTACATACTATAACGGCAATTTATGGACTAGACAATTGATCAGCTGACACGTGAATAATTATGCAAACTCTTTGATGGTTTTCAGAACTTAAAATTCCATTAAGAATTTGCAGAACTTTTCTTTAAAATAATTAATTGAAGGAATTAGCAGAGAATTAAGGTGAACTTCTATACAATATGAGTTTGCCATACCGCTTACAGCAATTTGTAATAAAACTTGCTGGTAAAAGTTTTCTAGCCCACAAATCTAAACTTTTCAGTATACTGAAGTTCCCGATTCGAATTTTTAACTACCTATTTATGTAGTTTTATATTCTACAATTAATTGGAAGAGTGTTTATAAATCATTGGATTAAATGAATGTATACACTGTCATATTACACCGTTAGCGAATATATATTGAATTAATTAATATTGATACTTATTTCTTAAATTGCAGAATCTTTCTATCGGTTTAAATTTAGTAATAATTGATATGATGGCATACTTTATATATATACTGAATTATATTATTTGTTTTATTTAGAATACATGTGTATATACACTGTGTCCCAAAATGATGGAACAAAATTCAATTAAAATTTTTTTCCAGATCAGAATTTAAAAAATCGCTGAAACAGGTTTGACAGACCTATAACATTCCCGACATTTTTTTAAATAGGATGCTCTATATTTTATATTATAAATAAATAGTCCTTCTAAAGACGAATTCAGCGATATAAGGTTGTACCTACATTTTTGTCATAGTTGTCAAAAAAAAAAAATGTAAAAAATTATATTTTACGTTGTACTGCGACGACTATTTCAAACAATCATAAGGTTTGTGTCTGCAGGACTCTCAGGCTGTTTGAAACTGTCAGATCACGAATCGATTGGCCACATATCTCTGATAGTTTCAAATCAATCCTCAATTGCTGCAAAAACATACCTATTGTCTCTTCTGTACTTTAAAAAACGTACCTACTCTTTATTAATCTTTTCTACTTACTTTAAAGCTTTTTTTTCTGAAAAAACTCATCGATAAACACATAAAATTCACCAGAGTACCTTAGGTATAAC